TCGACCTTCGGTGGCGGCCCTCGCGCCCCCGGCTTTACCGGTTAGTTTCGCCCCCCGGGAGCCAGGCCGGTTGTTGGCGCGCATCGCTCAGGGCTGTCTCGGGGAGGCAGTTGGGGTTCAGCCTGGGAAAGGAGGTGGGGGAGGGAGGCGCGGCCAGCGGCGTTCGAGCTTTGCCGTTACCCACCTTCTCCCCCCGCCCGCCCTGCGGAAGTAGCTGTGCGGGTCAGGCCCTGGGCGGGCGGCAGGTTTCCCGGGCTGCGGTGGGGTCATGGCGGGGGGGGCAACGAGAAAGCAAATGCAGCGTTGTTCCGGATAGGTTTAAGAAAAAAGGCCTGAACAACGTCACGTTCACCGAGGCCTTGGGGAACGGTCTCTGCCGGGTTTTAGCAGGGTGTTAATTGGAAATAGAATTGCTTATTCTCTCTTGTTTTGTAGTGGTGGGAAAATCCTGTCTTTCTACTCGGTCTCCTTGTTTGTCAGTATGTCTTGATATTCTGCTATAGCGGAATTATTGTCATTATGGCACTATTCATCTGAAACTACAAATACTGGAAACTTTGGGGGACTTGTAGTGTTCTTAATAGTATGGCTGAAAGCACAACACTGTTTCAGGAAATCTATTCACAATAATAAATGTGATTGAAATGTCTGGCCACAAACAAGTAAACATAAATATGGGTTTGTCAGTAATTATACAATAATTACCATGAAGATGCTTTAATTCTTTAAGATTTTTCCAGTTGTTTTGACATTGGCGACCCTTGCATCCTTTTCTCTTTGATGCTTGCCAAAGGATACCTTACATTTAGTAATGGCAAATAAGTAAATAAGCATTACCTCATAGAAGTTTAAATCTGCTTTTCTTTCCTGGGACTGTGCTTTACCATAAACTGTCCATATGACTTTACAACCATGACTTTTTTGGGTCATAGTAAACGTAAATAGTGACTTTACTGGGGTGAAGTGCTGTATGTAAGACAGCAGAACACATAGTACTTCAGTGCAATGTGGTGCAAATGTGTACTAACATGTTGTATGGGAGTTAGCCTAAACCTTATTTTAAAACATCTTACAGTTTTCTGTTTGTCTAACAAAGCTGCATAGAAAAGAAAAAAACCACATCAATAAGCTTCTTGCTTCTGGGGCATATTTTGAAAGTAAAATATTCATGATAAATCATTAATTCAGGAGCTTAACGTCATTTATTTTGGTATTTTGAGTAGAAATTACCAGGTTGGAAGACACATCTTAGCTGTGGGGGAGGGAGGGAAGTGAACTCGGTAGTGCAAGGAAGGAGCTTCTCTAGCTTGTCTGGAATGAAGGCTTGCCTCCTGAGAGGAAAACGAGCTGTCACTGATTGGGAGAGAGGAGCCTAGCTATTGCTACTCTGTAAATGCTCTATTGAGTCATCTTTGAACCCTTTCATCAGCTGTAATTTATTGTTTTTTATTGTCCTAGCCCATAAATTGTGACCTTAAATCTGAATTCTCATTGCTTTGCTTCAGAATAAGTACTTTTGCATGTTTGGGCATTTTTTTTTACCTGTAAACTGCTGCTGATACTTACCAGGAGTAGGTATATACATAAATATATGTATGTGTATATATATTAAAAATATAGCAGGTAAGAATACAGTTGCAAAACTCACCGTGGCAAAACTTCTTATAATTTTCAGATGGTGCAGACCATGCTTCCAAAGTCATGGAGAGCCATGAAATTCTACTTCACTACGGTGTATCAAGAAATATGGGTTGGCGTAGCATTAACAGCTTATGTCTATTACAAAATTTCGTATGGTGGTAAGTTACACATTATAGTCTTCATTAGCTGTTACTTTATAGATAAGGCTTATAGATGAGAATAGCCTTAACAGTTACAAATCAGTCATTGAAAATTTCCAGCAAATAAGAAATTAACACTCCTACTTAAGGCCAGGTCTTTGCCATAAAAATTTAGAAGTTTTAACGTGCTCAGTGTAGAAGGTTACACTAGAAAAAATACTCAAATACCAGTGTAACTGTGCCTACATTACGATGATTAACTAATGTAGGAATTGGTTTTAAAAACATACATCTAACTTGGAATGGGTAGCCAGAGGCTTCGCCTGTAGATTTGTCCTGAAGGGGAATATATAGAATCATAGAATCATTAAGGTTGGAAATGATCTTTAAGATAATCAAGCCCAACCATCAACCCAACGCCACCATGCCCTCTAAACTATGTCCCAAAGCGCCACATCCACACATTTTTTGAATACTTCTGGTGATGGTGACTCCACCACCTCCCTGGCAGCCTGTTCCAATGCTTCACCACTCTCTCAGTGAAGAAATTTTTCCTAATATCCAATCTAAACCTCCTCTGGTGCAACTTGAGGCCATTTCCTCTCATCCTATTGCTAGTTACTTGGGAGAAGAGACCAACACCCACCTCACTACAACCTCCTTTCAGGTAGTTGTAGAGAGTGATAATGTCTCCCCTCTGCCTCTTCTTCTCCAGACTGAACAACCCCAGTTCCCTCAGCCACTCCTCATAAGACTTGTTCTCCAGACCCCCTACCAGCTTCATTACCCTTCTCAAAGGGTTAGACCATTCCGAACTAGAACTTTGATTAGAAATTTTTTTAGAATCCTTATGCTTTTGAGTTTTTGCTCAAGATCTGCAAAAACAGTTTTTAAAAGGTTTTCCCATGTGAACTTGTGAAAGCTAAACCACTTGATTTATTTTGGGCTGATGCACCCCGAAATGTGAGGTACATCACTGAACATTAAAATGTGTCTTGGATCGCTTTCTCAGAGGAGGAAACAGAACATCTAATGTGAAAATAATAAATTTGAGTCGGCCAGGTCCCTCAAAGGAGAATAGTACAACAGATTATGGTGTCTTAAAGATCCTGTTATTCAATTTAGGCTATGCTGAAAAAATTCCAAGTCAAATCCTTTCCTAGCTGTCATGAACAATGAAATGTTATAAAACTGTAGACAAACTTGACAGGGAAAGGAACCCCTCATTGTAGGAACAGCTGAGTGATGTTATCTCAACATTTCTCTGGTTTTGTCCAAATAACTTGTAGCATGTCCGACACTGCTACACTACATTTATAAGCTTAAGTAAATATAAGTACAGCCAGTTGAACAGCCAGAGAGGAAAAAAAATAGTTTAACTTTTGCTTTAACTTCTTTAATTTCAAGGAGAATTCAAACTTGACAGGCTGTTTCAAGTTTGTTTTTATGTCATGCTACTTTTATTTTAATTTATGATTTAGATAATACATGTGGTGGTGTAGGGTTTTGACGGCCAAAACCTTGATGTGGGGCAACTGTATGCTAAGCGTTATTTTAAATTGAAAATAGCTTTTAACAGCTGTAGCCTCTTCTGCAGTTTGAGGAACAGTTTTGCAAATAATACACAATTTTTTTTTTTTATATATATA